CTTCTTGAATGATTTTTTTATCGTTCAAGTCGAACGATTCCTTATCGTTCTTCTTGAATGATTTTTTTATCGTTCAAGTCAAACGATTCCTTATCGTTCTTCTTGAACGATTTTTTTATCGTTTAAGGCGAACGATTCTTTATTGTTCTTCTTGAATGATTTTTTATCGTTCAAGTCAACTCGAGTCAACTCAAGTCAACTTGAATCAAGTTGAATTTAAATCGAGTCAAGTTAAATATTTAACTCGACTCGAATTTGGCTTAACTTGCAAATCATCAAGTCAAAAAAACACAAACTTGACTTGATTTGAACTCGACTCAGCTTATCTGACTCGTGAGTTAACTCAACTCGTCCAAAACTCTAACTTCTTATTTACAACCATTTGATATTTTACTTAATAAATTCTTTAAAGCTAAGGTAATTTTATTTTTATTTATTTTCTTTATTGTTAAACAAATAAATTAACATTATTTATATATAATAGATACAATATCACTATAATCATTGGATGAATTAAAAAATTAAAGACTATATATCATCTGGTAAAATTAAGAGATTATCTTATTTACTTATAGCAAATTAAATAAAGAAAAGTTAGAATGCTATAGATACTAATATAATTACATATTCATTCAAATGCTGTAGAATTTTAAATGCAATTAATAGAAAAGAAAATAGTTTAATTTTTAATTTTAATAAAGTAAAAAATATTAATAATCTAGAAAGAGGAGTTGAAGAAGATAAAAATAATAGTAAAAGCAAATCATTAGATGATAATAATAATAAAAATGAATCAAAAGATAATAGTAATAAAAGTGATAATTATTATGAAAAAAATAAAGAGCTTAATGTAATTCATGATTGGATTTGTAAGAATTAATATAGTGTTTAATAATAATTTGAACAATTACAGTTATTGAATAAATAAATAAAAAATAATTTGTATTGAAATTAAAGATTGTTTCACATGCATTTATGATAAAAATCACATTTTGTAAATTAGTCACAAGAGGTATAATCTAAGTTAGATATATCTGTTGAAAAGTAATAAATGATCATAAAAATCTTTTTGATCTTTTATTCCTGAACTTAGCTAGAAACTTTATGTAATTTTATTTTTCAGAATACCAATCTGAAGGTTTGAAACCTTAAAATTTTAGTTCACAGATAAGTCATTTGTTAGTTAATTTTGATAAAATAGTCTAAAATATTAGAATTAATCAAAGATACAAATTCATTAGTTATTATATTTATTATTATTTTTAAAAAATTTACTGATCTGACTTATTTGAAATTTCAGTATTTAATCTCTATCAACTACCTTATATTATGATAAGATAAAGATACTTGAAAATTTCATTTATTATAGCTATTTACTCACTAACTTATTTGCTAATCTAACTTATCATATGTACTTTACATATATTTATAGCTCAAAAAATTATACTAGATTTAATTGGTAATGTTAGAGAGAAAATTATTTTATTTTCTTTCAATTACTCATGTTATAACTATTTACTTATCTAAAAACTTTTGAAAATTTTGATCAGAGATAATTCCTAAAGGAGTAAAATATTTTATTATTTATTTATTTATTTTATAATCATTAAAAAAAAGCACACTAAATTTACTTTTGTAAAACAGTCCAGATTCTTGAAGTCTTAAGTTAGAATCAAATTATAAGTAAGTTTTAATAAATAAATTTTTTAGTAATTTTTTTTTGATTTTAAAAAACTTACTTGAAACTTACTTTGATAGGATAGTCTAAAACATTAAGAGGTAAATCCTAATGAATTAATTTGTAAGTTATTTATTTTTATTTTAATTTTTTAAAAATTTGAAATATATTTACTAATTTATTTTTGTAATCAATTTTAGATCCTTGAAGCATTGAGTCAGAAATAAGTTCTTTTAGTTAATAAATTATTTTAATTTTTTAAAAAAATAAAAAAACAAATTAACTTATCTTTGTAGACTGATCTGAACTCTATATACTTCGATCAAGATAAATCTCTAATAAAATGATTCGTAAGTTATTCATCTTTATTTTAATTTTTTAAAAAAAATTGAAATATATTAACTTAATTTTATAGACTAATCCAGATTTTTGAAGCATTAAGTCAAAGATAAGTTCTTTTAGTTAATAATTTTTTTCTTAATTTTTTAAAAAAAATAATAAAATTAATTTACCTTCATAAACTGATCTGATATTTATAAATTTGAAACCTTAGATTAAGATAAGTTCTAATGAAATAAAATATTTTGTTTAGTTCTTTATAATCATAAAAAAAAAGACTAACATTAATTTACCTTTGTAAAACAATTTAAAATCCTGAATCTTGGATTAGAATAAGCCAAATTGAAGAAATTTATTAGTATATATATATTTTATTTTAAAAATAAAATTATTATTACTTATTTTTTGTAGGACTGATTCAGAATCTATAACTTAAATCAAAAGTAAGTTCTAATGGTTTATTTTTATTTTCTAATAAATTAACGTATATTATTTATCTTAGCAGACTGATCTGAAACCTTAAAATCGAATTCTTGGATCAAAGGTAATCTAATAATAATTTTTCTAATATATATTTTTTTATTTAAAAAATTTTTATAATACTATCTTTTTTTAGTTAATGATTTTTATAAATATATTTTAATATATATTGAGTATAATAGAAATAATTTAACTTTGCATTTTAAAATTCTGTTAAAATTTAATTCTTTATTTATTTGAATAAAAAACAACTAAAAATATAATTCATATACTTTTTTACATATTAATATATAATTGACTTGTTCAATAAAAAATATAAATACTAATTAGAATAAATGCTATTAACTTTAACTACTCTTTTTTTTTATAAAAACATTTAAAATTCCAGCATTAGAAAATAACCTTTTTGATGGTGTAGATGTAACAACCCAAGATTCCAATTCTGGATCGATCACAAAGGTAAATTAACATTAGTTTATTTTTCAAAAATTAAAAAAAAATACTAACTTTAGAATATATCTCTAACTCAATGTTACAAGGATCCGGATTGGTCTACAAAGATGTTTTTTTTAACCTGGCCTGAAGTAAATCAGATTACCTGATATAATTTGAATTAACCCGAACCTGTTCAGAATTCTGGTTATGAGATTATTATTGTTTAATAAATTTTCAATATTATACCCGGGTCTTATACAAAATTTTTGCCATAAAATTTGATTTATACTCGGGTCTTAAACTAGTCAAAAAATTTTAAACCTAGTATAATACTCAGATACTTTAAAGTGGGGGTACGAACAAATGGGAGTATATTATGCAGTGCTAGACGGTAGTCCTTCACTTCGTTCTGGACTAACTAACAAAACCACCTAAAGTAGCCAACCAAATAAAGATTTAGCAATGGTCCAATCAACATTATCATTTGGATCACAACAATTTAATTTTCATAAAATGATCTCTCTAGAATTGAAATTGATAAATAGAATTCGAAAAAAATCCGGCACCAAATAAAAAATAATAATGAGCAAGCTAACATGAAAAATAATTTTAATGATATACGATTTGATCATTTATAAACTAAATAACCCGAGAATATACAATATTAATCCAAGTACGCTGGTATTAGAAGCATGAAATCCGATCTAAGAAGAAGAAGAAGAAAAGTATTTAATGAATTATTAATTTAAAGATCGTGAAGAATGAGGATATTTACCCCGCAACAAAAATAAAAGCTTCTAAAGCTTCCCGACTGACAACGGTAAATGATAATAATGATAAACCCAAATAATTTTCCCTATTATGTCTTTCAAAATAAACTCTTGCAGCATATCTAAATCTTTTTTCCATCCTATCTTTCCAATGATTTATTCTTATCATAATCCACGATATTATCGTAATTAGAATTGATGCCAATAAGGTAAATATTGCTCCTGTTGTTATAGTTCAACATGTTAATTAAATTTTTAAAGGGCTAAATTTACTTAAATAAATAAATAAATATGTACAAATATACCCCAAATTTCTTCAGTTTGTATCCATAAATTTTGATTGTGCCAATCATTATCGATATTACTATTCCTGTACCGATTCCAACCCATTATTGCTCCCTGAGCAAATTTCTTTAATTCAGGATTTTCCATTGGAATACTTTTAAATCGTATATAAAATCATCTAGATATTACAGTTTTTCATAAATAAAATAAGCGCAACGTCTATATGTTTTATCAGCGATAAAAACAAACTTTATCAACAACTACTTTTAATTTATAATTTTATTGCAGCAATTTCATTTCCCATTTTTTGCCGCTTTACTATACCAATAAATAGCTTTATCCAAATCCTTTTCTGTGCCTTCTTCATGTTCCAAGTTTACATTGAGCATAATTATATTCTTTTTCTGCTGAATTTTTATATAATTCAAATGCTTTTGTTTCGTTAACGCCTTTGCCAAATTGATAAAATTATATTGCGCAACCCCATCTTCATCTGCTGCTTTGTTATACCAATAATCGCTTGTTCTAAATCCTTTTCGATACCTTTACCATTCTCATATAATACTCCAAGACTAATTTGTGCTTACGATTTCCTTCCTTGGTAGAAATTTTATATAGTTCAAATGCTTTTGCCTTATTCATTTCAATTCCAATTCCTTTACTATAACAATAACCAAGTTGAAATTTCCCGTCTATATATCCTTGCATAGCAGATTTATTAAATAATTCAAAAGCTTTTCTTTTATTCTTTTTTACACCTATTCCTAATTTATAACAATTTCCTAAATTAAATTGCGCAACTTTACATCCATTTTCTGCCGCTTTTTGAATGATTTTTCATAATTTGTTTTCATTTATTAGTATGGGTTGTTAATTTTTGTTATAGAAAATTTTAAGAACATATTGCGCAACAATGTCACCATTAATCATTGCTTTCTTATAATAACATAATGTCTGCTCTTTATCTATTTTTGTTCCAATCCCATAAAAAAAACATTTCCAAGTTGAAATTGTGCATAAAAAATTTCTCTTTCGGACAAAATTTATAACATTCAAATGCTTTGACTTCATTTTTTTTTTTGATCCCTTTCCCTAACCTGTAACATTCTGCAAGATAAAATTTGCAGTCGTGTTTCCATTATTGGCCGCTCGTTTATACCAGATGATCGATTCCTTTTCATTATTTTCAATTCCAATACCATA